GAGTTATAACTCTAAAAAAAATGGGTACATAGGTACCTACCTGAAATTTTCTATGTATGTTTATATTAGCCTTTATTGCCTTTGTATACACGATAACATTTTCAATAATTTTTACTAATTTAAATCTATTTATAGACACAAACAATTTTCGATTGGTATTTGTTTTTTAAATAAGTAAAATAAAAATTATCTTGGTCAAAAAATTAAAAATTTAATGCAAGTTGTTGTTAATGGTGATTAAAAAAAATTAAGCTTAAATAATTCACAGACATTTTTGTGAAAATCTGAAGATTTTTTACGATATTGGATATTCACTCGATTTTTCATTGAACAATTTTCTTAATTTGTTAATTCAAAAACGAATAATCGTAGATACTTTAAATTTACATCAAATGTTTATCTTACCATATCTATAAATGTTCATTTTTAAATAAATTTATAAATAGTAAAACAAATCTTATCATTATTTTTTTCTATAGCATCAGACTCTGCAGTCTAATTTCAGTATTTGATTATTTAACTTTTGCGTTCACCTCTTATGGCCACTATGTTCCATCTACACATCTATAATACATTACTGCATATAGAAACACAATATATGCAGTACAGTAACAAAAAATATATATATGATATAATATACAATATTAAATCAGACTATTAGATTAATATTGTAATCTCTGTTTAGCAGAATTGTTATTCCTGCAAGCCTATATTTTCTAGAGAATGTTGGGATATAATTAATCGCCTAAATATTATTATTTCGTCCGAATTCTGATTCGACAAGACAGAATACGTCGATGGCAGTATGTTTACAGACACGTCATAAAATAACAGTGCTACAGCTGTACAACACCTATATTAATTATTGCTACACTGGCTATAAAATGTATAAAATAAATTTTTGTACAAGTAGCGGCAATTCATCACACGGTCCAACTATTTGAATACGCAATAAGAAATCGCTAGTACGGTGAATAAATTATGCGTACAAATACTACGCAATGCTATGAACATGTTATTCAAAAAAAAAAAATTACAAATTATTCAACCGTATTTGTATATCAATAATATGCTATACATGATAGGTACATCGAATAGGTGCGCCGCTTATTTATAACTCATAAGTTATAACTTCTCCATATGATATACACACGCGCGCACACACACAGACACACACGCACATACACACACACTGACATAATATTGTCTGTATTTTATATATAATTTATAAACCATAATAATTTGGTTGTATTCGAAGTGGTGCGTAGTTGACCCAACCAATACTACGTGGAACCACGTATAAAACATTCACAAAATTCTCATGTAAAGCTGTATAGCGTAAAGGATTCGGAGAAAATTAAGTATATTGCAGTTTTAATATTAAAATAAAATATTATCAATAGAATTCTTACAATAAAAATATAATTTTTTAATTCAATGTGACGTTTGGCTATCCTAAGAGTGGGACGATGGACCACGATTAAAGCTACTGCATATTTTATTCTTTATGTTTGAGCGCTGTACGCAGCTCAGTTGGACGCAGTAAGTCGCTGTGACCATACCAACGGTTCTACAGCGTAGAACTGTTTAGACGTTTAGTAGACACGTCGAAGAACTCGTTGACAACTTAATTATACACAATTTAAACAGAAAAAAAAAAAAATTATTATTGTGTATGTCAGTCGCCACACTAATAATATTATAATCATTATTTGGAAAATGTAAATCAGTATAATTACAATTTACAACATTATAAATGGATATCGATAGTAATTTATTTGTGATATATTGATATTATTTATCGTATCAAACGTGGGTTGAGCTGCTCTTTCTATTCATTAGATTTTGATTACACATTATTATTTTAATATTTTAATTGAACTCTGCAGTATGTGGTAATATGTATATATTATACCATATGTATATATATAGTGGCGGCGATGATGATGTGTGAACGGATATCTAAGAAGAAGCCGAATTCACGGAAACGATACGCATTATTATAATATAATTATCATCATTGGTGCCAAATATGTGTTTAGATAAGAAAATAACATTAATTACACACACACAAGCCCAAACGCATATCGGGTGTTTGACAACGAGCATTAAATTTATGTATTATGTACTGCATAGTTTAAGCCTCCGTATAATAATCATCATATTATTATAGTCGTAATATCGTCATAATCATAATCATTTATTAGACTCGTTAATTTAGAGCTCGTTCGTTCGTGTAAATTAATACCTATTATATCGTAGATAAAGCTGTTTTCGTGGAAAGGAATTTTCTTTTTGCCATCCATATAATATTATGTGATCGTGTATTACTGTTTTCTGTATGGAATATTATGCACTAAATAAAGCTTTGCATGAAATTAACATTAATTTTGTTTTCTATTATTACAACAGTCAGGAATTTGCTTTCTGAAAAATCCCGCACCAAAATTTGCATTAGAAATGTTACGCGTAACTAATTCATGGAAAAAATCGACATAGTTTGACTGTCATCGAAATATGTACGTTTAAAGAGTTTTTTAAGACCACAGATAAACTCCATCTGGTTAAATATTGTATACAAACCTGAACCCGTCCCCGGTCCCCGTTTAACTATAATAAATCGCAGTCAATTGCGTGTAGTATTACGGGAATAACGGCCCAAAACGACAGCGCCCTTGGCTCTTATACAATCTCACAGTTATCGATCCTTTTAACAATGGTGTTTAAAACAATATTCACGTAGTAGGTCATGTATACACCACTATGTTATACTATATAAAACAGGATATCCCGCCAATGAGTTTGTGTCCTCGTCAATAACTTTTTTTCTCATATCTCATATCTCACATTCTCACTCCACTGGCAAGTAGCCAACATTTTTTGAAGGGGGGATGTTTTAATTAAATATTTATTTGAGGGCTGTTCACACATCCATCATGAAGTCGATGGGTTTCAATAATAAATTATAAAATGTGTTTAACTTAAGGATATTTGTTTACTTTAAATACAATATTACAGTATAATATTAAATTATAAAAAATAATGAAAATTAGTAAAAAAATTATTTTTGGATTATCCAACAGATGGAGAAGGTATGTTTTGTGTGTCAAACCACCCCTGGCATGCATGTCTCAAGGACCTGCTTTTTTAATAAATTTAGTGACATGTTTTTATTCTATACAAGTTTATAGTTTAAATTATATGTTGCCTGCACAAAGTTTTATGAGTTTTTGACTTGAAAACAACTTTATATACCAGAACTATTATAGACACATGGAGAGCAACTGTAGGGTTTATTTTCTAAAGGAGTTCTATTATAGAGTAAAAACTATTTAATATATTTATTAGGTACCAATCCACTCCATATAGTGAAAAATTTCAAATATTAAAAAAGAATATCAATAAGTACCATAGAAATTATTCATTTAAAATTTTAGATTACCTAGCTTACTTTATTATCGTTAAGAGAATGCCACGCATTCGTTTCTGTTATCTCAGACTTACTAGCTCATATCTTAGACAATTTACGTTCAGCAGTTCAGGTTTAATTTGTAAATTACCTAGTTTTATTATTAGAATAAATCTCTGTTGCTGTTCCATAAATATGTTTAAATTCATTACTCTACGAATACTTCTAATAGAAATAAATAATTTAATCTATAAAAACAAGAGATTATAATTAGTTTAAAAAAATGTTGCTTCTGGTGGTAATTAACATCATAAAAAAGGCGGGACATCTTGTATAGAATACGAATAACTTATATTATTAAAAATAAAGAATAATATACCTTTTCACCTAGACGCCTTAATACAGCGAATTCGTTTGCACAGTTTAAGGTGTTTACCAGGTAATTATTATCATAATATAGACAGCTTTTTTTTTTTAATTGGTGCGTGTAAAATTTTTGATGAACCTTGTATTTAATTTACACAGTCTTTAAAAAAATTTAACATTTATAAAAAAAATCTAAGAATAAAAACTATTTTTCACTATTATTTTGAATACTAAGAATTTTAAATTTTGATCTCTCGATAAATCTAACTAGTAAGTATAACTAGATCAAATCATCAGAAACCTCCTATATCAAATTTCAAGATCCAAATATTTTTTCAACTATTTATCTTGCAGTATACACGCAAAAAACAGTCGTCATTGTAAAAGCAATACATTCATCACTCCACTCAGAATCTAAAATGTATATACGATTTACGAATTAATAGAAACATAGTGGATATACGTGTTATTTATACGTGCTTTGAGAGTGAGTATTATACGCATTATTTGTATATAGATAAGAGAATATTTTTTTTGTCTCTCACTATTCATATTCAGTGTTTACTAATATTTAAATATAACCTTATGATATGATATAAAAAAAATATATATTTTATGAATATATTAATTCTTTTTACTTTTGTTAATTGAATTGTACGAATTAATTTAAATTAGATGAATATATATATAGACATATTATATCCTATTAATTTTCATACCGCACTAAAAACTCATTTTTGTTCAACGTTTGATTGTATCTATCCATCTTGTGTATTTTCGAAACAAAAATGTTATTACAAATTAAAATTAACTAAATATGGTATTAAAAACAACAAAATTATATATTAATAATTTACAATAAGAAGTATAATATAGTTTAAATATACATTTAAAAAATATTTATATTTGCGTGTGGAAAAAAAAATTATAGTTTGATAGCGTGTTTCATTTTTCATCTTGCGTAATTTTGTCATATTATATCTGTAACTAAATAGTTACAGATGTACCTATACTTATCTAAACATTTCAATGTACATAACTTGTACGATTGTATTATAAGTGGTTTTATATAACGGTAAAAACCAAAATCTACTTAAATACATTGTTTAATGTTTATTACGCATAATGCTTTATCAAACTCACGATGGCGGAAATTGAATATGGAAAAAGTAAAATATATATAATATTATTATAATTGTTTTTGTTTATAAAAATAGTAGGTATGTATATAGTTTATCTATAATCTATATTATATTATATACATCATAATATCCTCCTCTAATTTCTATATATAAATATAAATATGTAATTATAATTTGTACACGCATATGCGCTAATAACTTACTATATACCTAACATAAATTAAGATTAACAGTAAAAATACGACAAAAAAAAAATAATAGTAATAATAGTAAAAATTTAACTTAGACGATGTAGAAAATAATTTAATCACAGATTATACGGATATTGAAGTAAATATTCGATCAGTTCGTTTGGTAGTGATGTAGGAGTGATGGTGATGAGGCGCTTGTGCCGGTTGATCACCAGGCGGGCCATGTGCTTCAGCGAAGGGAACCCCGCGGCGGTGGTCTTGACCACTGGCCTGCGGAGGTTCATCCACGAGAAGAACTGGCCACATTGGTCAATCCACACGGGGTACACGAGCATCTGGCGGGCCGCCTCGATCCGGGACAGTCGTACGTAGTAGTCGATCAGCTCAATCGGACATCGGAACTTCGGGACGCGGAGAGCGCCTGCACGCCGTGGCATCGAGTCCAGCCCGAACACGCCATCCACGTATGTGAACCGTACGCTCATGATCCGGGGCTCACCGCACCGGCCCGTCTGCACGTCCATCGTGAACAGGTGTTCCGAGTGTCTGGAATCTCGAACGCAAAATCGGCCCGCCGGCATTCTGGCCAACGCGTCCGTGGTCAAGGCTTGTGCCTCGGCGCCCTCGTAGTACCAGCCGGACGCCCGAAGCCGGGCAACGGCTGTAGACAGCACTCGCAGGTCGCGAGCGCCCCCGCCGTCCGATGCGATGGCCGACGCGGCCGATGCGGCGGAGGCTTCAGTGATGACGTTGTAAATCGTGGCGTCATCAGCAGTGCAGTAAGCGATGCACCTACTGGTAGGATGCACCGCGGTGGATCTGACGGCCACAGACTGCTGCAACGTCGATACAGCGGCGGCCGTGGTGGTCGTGCTACAGCATCGGGAGCCGGATCCCACCTGCTGCTGCTTGATGCGCCTGCACGACACCACCCGACCACCGGCCAGCGTTAGCTTAGACCGTTCCCGGGACAGCGCGTGATTGATGTGCATCTGGTATAGGACCACGTTGCGTTGTTCGCACGCCCACCTATCCCACAACCGAATCCAACACGCCTGTAATCGCATCGACTTGTCCGCATCTTGGAGCACGGCCGCGGGCGATGGAATTTCAGTGCTGCCATTATTCCCGTTGTCCGGCCGGCCCGTTTTCCAGCAATGGGTGTTTAACATCTTCTACCCATGGCCAGTACACCAAACTGCGTCCAACGTCAATGACGCGTGCACGGAAGTAGTGCCGGAAGTGGTATAATCACAGCCACTAAAACAATATTAATAACAACAATAAATAAAAATATAGGTAACTAATGAGCTATACATATTATGCTGAGGTCCAACACAAAATATTATTTTCATTGTAATTAATAATAACACAATTCGTGGCTCCAATTTACAATTTAAGTCATGTTAGTTATGTAATTGTGTGGAAATAATGATAATTAATATCATCTTTCGATCATTCCTACCGGCTGTCACGTCAAACTCGATTTATAATAAAAATAATTATTAATAATTATGAGTGCCAAGGAAATTATGTTGGGTAAAAGTCTAAAAAATATAAAGAGATAAATATCGTATGGTTTACTGAAGAGAACGAAACCCTTAAAATTTGGAAGTCCCGTCACGAGCGGACTTCTCGGCGGTATTGATTTCAACACGAGACCGCAAAAGCCGCTTGACACGCTTGGGTAATTATTACGTACACAGCAGCATAAAAACTTTGGGCAACAATTAAAATATTATATCTATTATATTAATTAAATTCCTATTGTATTTTGATTTCTTAAATGTATTGCATTATACATATTTATAATACAATATACAATGTTGTATATCCGCGTACTGAGAACGTATTATTTAGTGTATAGGTAAAGACTATATTAATACGTTGAACGAATGCACATATAGCGTACGTCATGTCATAAGTTAAAACCGTTACGTAGACGCATTTTTTCGAATTATTCGTAAACAAAGCCACTGAAATTTGCACAATCGCCCGTACGACGTACCTATCGTTGTTGTTATTAATTATACCATTGATTTTATAATATTAGTATATTATAAAATCAATGATTATACCTATCATATAATATTATGTAAGTACGTCTTAAATATGAACTAATAACAGTATATTATTTTGTTTGTTGCATGCATAAGGCATAATTAACAGCATGCATTTGGTATTTTTGATTTTGTTGTAATAGTATCCTAAGGTGAATAATATTAATGTTGACATGAGAAGTAAAATCTTGTGTGATGGCAACATTTATGATCCGCAAAAGTATTCTTAAGATACAGCAAATGTTTTTAATGATTATTTTGCTAATGTTAGTGAAGTATACGCTAGTAATTTTTAAAAAATTTTCAAAAAAAATAAATAAATAATACACTACCTAAGTAACTTCTATTTTAATGCCATGTTTCTAAAAAATTAAGAACTCAGGAATATAAAACATACCGAATAACCGCAAAGAAAATACAGCCACAGGTTTCGATATATATCTGTGAAACTTTAAAAGCACATATATATATTCTTATTATTGAGCCTTTAATAAAACAAAGCACATTGCCTGAAAAAATATAAGCTCTCCATTGTCTAAGTTTTTGTTCAAATCAGGTAGAACATAAAACAATGTCAAACTAAAGGCATACTTTCATGCTCTGTAGTTTTTTTAAATAGTTTAAATCGGACTTATATCCTTCTAAGAAAGAACTCGGTAAAAGTACGATTGGAATTCTTTATTGGACTACCTACCTACAGAGTTTATATACAAAACAATGAAAGATAATGAGAAGATAATTGTGATTTTTTTATATATTAAATGCATTTGATACTGTGGACCACAACAAAATATGAGCTAATTAGAATATTACCAAGTATCGTAGAGTTAATGCAAAAGGCTGCATTATTGGCTTAAAAATTGTTTGGGAAACAGAAAACAAATGCTAACTGTAAATGATATACTCTATTTTTTAACGCCTGTTGTAAGTTATAACTTATAACTCATTTACCACACCGGCCATCATAAGCTGAATATGGATAACCCGAGGTATATTAATCACAATCGTATAGAATAAACTTGTAAAATTTTCTTTCACCATTTTGACGAAATTTATCGAAATTATCATGTATTTAAACTCAATTGTTTTTTTTAAATTTCAATACTAAATAACAACTTATGCATAACTTCGTATTAAGCTTTTGACCGAGGAAAACGTCTTTTCATTGAGAACAATTAAAAAAACATTAAAAAATGTCTCATGCCTATAAAATACAGCTTAAAAAGAATAAAATATTTTGAAAATCATACGGAGTGTAGAAAATACTCATATAAACATTTGATGAAAATTTCAAGTGACTACGGTTATTTATTTTACAATTAGGTACAATAAAATAATAAAAGTGATTTTGTCCAAAATGTATTTTGCATAAAAATTCTGGCTTTCCCTATTTTGTTTTACCTAATCTTTAAGAAAGGAACTATGCATTTTTAATTTCGATTTCCTCCCAAAAGTGCTAACTAGATTTACTTTCTTCCCAGAAAATATATTGGAATTCTTAGTCGAAGAATTTTTTATATTATAAATCGTGTATACATACATCAAAAAAAATACATCATTGTAAAATCAATTCATTCATCGTTACACTCAGAATCTAAAATTAGTTGTTACAAAATTGAAAAAGTAATGCATTTTTAACTCAATGCAAAATAATTTGCACATTTTCGTTACTTTGTTGAAATGTAAACTTCAAAAGTTCAAACGCTCATAAAAAAACTGTTGTGGATTTACGTTGAACTTTTTTTTTTCAATTTCGCTATTCAAACTTAGGAATACCTCGTATTAAATTTTCAAACTTTTTGATTGAGCACTAAAATTATTAGCTACATTTATAGAAAAGAAATTAACAAAATTCAAAACTTTCAAATCCAAATATTATACATATAAAACATAATTATTAAAATAATGAACAAGTCGGTCTAGCAAAAAGCCAGATTGAGTGATAATCGCCGTAAAATCCACTCGACCAATTTATTTCGCTGGTGTTGCAGGCAGCAGAGAAATATTAATATATTTACGGCTAAACGTGGAAATACGCCGCTATGATGGATATCATTTTTCATTTGTAAGTTTAAAAAAAATATTAGTTTATAAATTATACACGTCGAGGTACTATACATATACGAGCACGATAATAATACGTATTATTATACACTTATATATATTATATTATGATGTACTAGATTCAGATACCTATACGGCTATACACACACTACGTTCATATAATACATATATAATTTAATGGAATACGTAAATATACATATTATTTATAATAGCATATACTCTTCTTTCTACTTTCGTCCTGTGAAAATTCAATAGGCACATCGTATATTTTCATGTGTAAGGATGCGAAAGTCTCCTCTCCTTCAGCCGATACGATGAATACGGAGACAATCTGATAGACGTCAGACGTGTAATATACATAGTAGTACATCACGCGATTGGATTTAAGGTGAAAAAGTGAATGAGTGTGCGGAACATATAATTTGATGAAAAATCGTTTTCAGAATATTTTATCTGACATTTTTTATCCTACCTACCACCGAATAGCACATTAGCCTGCGCTTCATATTATCTATCAGATTATAAACAAACGGAATAGTTTATTATTATATTATAGTCGACCGACGACCATCCGTCCATTTTACCAATATCATGACACGTTATTATTAATTAGTTCACCGGAACTATCAATGAGGTACATGCTGTGTCATTATGATTTATGAATCATTATGAGAATATAAAAAGAAAATAATAATAAATATAATAAACAATTATAATAATATATATTTCATATTTTATTGTGACGTTGAAACCTCTATACGTAATTTAGGTTTTATCCACCTTTATATTATTATGTATTTCGGTAAAACTTTGTCTAATTTAGTTATAAATGGACGCTATTGCTTTCTTCAACCAAATTTTATGAAATTAAAATAATTTATTTTCTGATTTGCGGCTAGCGGTTGCCGCCCAGCGCTAACGTTGCGTGACGCATGTATTGCAATACAACGTTGTCTAATTTGGTTGTATAATAATATAAACGTTGCCATTTGCAACAAAATTTTATGAAATAAAAAGAATTTATTTTCTAAATTGCGGCCGTCCATCGCACAACACGTTGTGGAAGCTAGTGGGATCAAATGAGAAGTGCAGCTCCAGGAGGTGGGAGACGATGCTTCCCCGAGCTTGAGAATTACTACTCTATATTCTATAATAAAGAAGAAGAAATTGCTGATTTTGATTAATGTATTGATTATACAATGATATGTGGTTTTTTGTCTGTTATCACTTTTTAGGGAAGTAAAAAATGTAAATGATTTAATTTTCTACTTCAGCATCGGTTTTGGTAGAAAATTAAAAAGATTTTAAAATATGTCCAATTCTTTATAAAAGCGTCAAGAAAAACAGACAAACAATTAATAAATAAAAACTGGGAAACCAGTTTTCGAAAATATCAATTTTTTTTCGTTGTAAATAACAGTAGATCTATGAAATTTTTGCCGAATGTTTATATTGGCAATTTCAATGTACCAAACAATTTTCAAAATATTTTGACTAGTTTTGAGTTAGTTATAGACATTTTCAATAGTCAATTTGTTCAGTTATTTTTAAAATATTATTAGTCGTTTCGAAATGCCTGAAAATTTAATACAAGATTTCTCATAAGTTATTAATTTATTATAAATAACGATTGCAGATAAATATTAAAAGTCCATATTCACTATCTTTTTTTTAAAGGTAATGAAAGTTCATTTTTTGGTAAAATTTATCAAAATCTAGAAATTTTGCAAATTTTTGTTGTATTTAAAAATGTATAAAATGTTCAATTTATATAGCTAAGGATTAAAAATTCAAAACATGGTTCTACGTAAGTAGTTCATACTGTAACTAAGATATCTAAAAAAAATATATAAATACAGTTATTTTGTGTACACATTTTGTTCAAATTTGGACGAAATTAGATATTTTAACAATTTTAACTTATCGTTTTGTTGTAATTCAAAAATATTATTCCTGGGTACTTGAAACTGTTAAAATATATTATTATATTGTATACACACAATGGTATTTTTAAATTCAAGTTTTTGGATAAAAAATTATTTTAACCTACAGCGCAATACTAATGCCTAATCGTAAAATAAATTACTTTAATCACAAATAATATCATAAAATATAGTGTTATAGGTTGACAGACCA